GAAGAACTAAAGAGCCTCTTGATGAAAGTGAAAGAGGAGAGTGAAAAAGTTGGCTTAAAGCTCAACATTCAGAAAAGTAAGATCATGGCATCTGGTCCTATCACTTCATGGTGAATAGATGGGAAAACAATGGAAACAATAAGAGACTTTATTTTTCTGGGCTTCAAAATCACTGAGGATGGTGACTGGAGCCATGAAATTAAAAGACGCTTGCTCCTGGAAAGAAAAGCTATGACCAACCTAGACAGCATATTAAAAAGCAGAGACATCACTTTACCAACAGAGGTCCGTCTAGTCAAAGCTATGGTTTTTTCCAGTAGTCATGTATGGATGTGAGAGTTGGACTATAAAGAAAGGTGAGCACTGAAGAACTGATCCTTTTGAACTGTAGAATTGGAGAAGACTCTTGAGAGTCCCTTGGACTTCAAGGAGATCCAACCAGTCAATTCTAAAGGAAATCAACCCTGAATATTCATTGGAAGGACTGATGCTGAAGCTGAAACTCCAATACTGTGGCCACCTGATGCAAAGAACCAACTCATTTGAAAAGACCATAATGCTGGCAAAGACTCAAGGTGGTAGAAGAAGGGGACGACAAATTAGATGGTTGGATGGCATCACTAATGTGATGCACATGAGTTTGAGTAGGCTCCGGGAGTTAACAAGGAAGCCTGTCGTGCTGCAGTCCACGGGGTCGCAAAGAGTTGGACACGACTAAGTGACTAAACTGAACTGATTCTCATGATTTCTCAATATTTTGAAACATTTTACATTTTACAGTGCCTTCTCATAAAGATCAATAAAATGAGTATGGGCAAATGCTTGCCAAGTAAATGGAGCAGCCCCAGTAAGAGTTCTGGGGAAAAAAAAAAAAACCAACCATTTGATTCTGAGCACCTTATTATTTATGCGTTTTTCCACTACTATAGGATCTTTTCTTTGTGTCAGGTACTGTGCTAGATGCTGGAGCCACAAAGGTGAGTAAAATAAGATACCTGCTATCAAAAAGTTCACATCATTTTATAGGAGGACAGGACAGACATTCACAATTAATTGTGATAATTGCTAGGACAGAGGTGGCAACCAGAACAAACTCATTGAGACAGGAACAGTGAAAGGATGGTGAAATTCAAGCACCAATCTACTTCTCTTCTGCTTCCTCATGCTCTGTGGTAGAGATGTGTAGGGCAGCACTTGCCCACTGACACTGGCCCAGCTACACATGCAGTCTTCCAGCTTCTCATTCATGCGGCTTCAGCCACAAATCCACAGATTTAAAGGAACAGGGCTAGGAAGGCCCACTCTGGCTGTCAGGTCTAGGCCTTGGGTGCCAGCGCAACCTATCAGAAAAAAACCCTCGCATCTTTGGGTTCTGGGCATCTGGCCGGTGATGCTCCAGCTGGCACTTCTTTTTCTCACTCCCCTCCAGTCCTTGTGTATACAGCTTTCTTGGAAGGGAACACAGAAAATAAAAGTTTGCTCAGAAAAATAAAGGGCAAGTGGAAAAACTTAAGTACCAAAACCCCACCACACATCTGATTGCTTTTACTGTATCTCTGTTTCATGTCATTTCCTAGAGCTGAACTTTCATGTCCTTTAAAATCATCTTTATATCCCCAAGGTCAGGAGAGTTCCTGGGAAGCTGGCTTTTAATAAATATTTATTGAACTGAAAGTCAGAACAACAGAATAAAGTAAAGTTCAAAAGCACTTGGTCTTTGTGTAGCATTTATCTTGAAAAACCTTCATAAACACAAAAAATTCATATTCAGTTCAAACCCTCTGAGAAAAACTGTATTTTCTATGAAGTACGTATTCTACATGGTTTGATCCTACTTGGATTGCTTTAAGAAAAGAATGTACCAACTTTATAAAGTTTGTGGGCAATCCTAACTAAAAGCAGAGGCCAGTGCTGAACCTGTCAATGTCTATCCAAATAAAATAAGGTCTCTGTAAATATCAAACCATTCAACTGGGGAAGAAATTGTTCCTTAAAGTTAATGTTTAATCTACTTAAAAAATTTAAACAATCTAGAAGGAAACAGACAAATCAGAAAAGATGTGTTCTTACCTAAGTCTCTTTTTACCATAAGTCCCTTTACCTTCCCCCCGCCTCAACTGGTAAATACTAAAAATAAACACATTTCTTTTAAATTGTAAAGTACAATACTTGGTTATCTCTAACCTGAAAGAATGCTCGAGCTTCTTTATACCTACACTCAATAAATCTAGAGTGTGGTATTTCTTCTAGAAAGTGCATTGGATCTTTTGGAATGAGAACATCTAATCCATCAACAGTAATTTGTTGTAACTCTGGCCTGAAAACAAAAATTAAGACTTATTACAAGGACTTAATTCAGAAAACTGGCAGCCTCTTCAAAGTACATTCAATACAACATAAGCAAAATAGCTAAAGATCAAGTATATAAGGTATCATTTTTAAAGATCTACTCTTTTAGCAACTGTCAAATATATAATACAGCAGTGTTAATTAACTATAGTCATCATGCTGCATATTATATACCAAGAACTTATCTCATAACTGGAAGTTTTTACATTCTGAACACTTTTACTTGTAAGTATATATCCACAAACATACTTTATCCTGTGTCTGAACTCTTTACAAATATAGTAAGATTTGTATTCTCTTATGCCTCACTTCTGTCACTCAGCATTGTAGGATTCATCTCTGTTGCTACATACAGCATGAGTTAAGAGCTTCTTCATTTCCCTGCCCCATGGTTCTTCATTGTGTAAACACACCACATTTTGTCTGGGGCACTGAAAACAATGTTGCTATGAACATTCTGATATATATTTCCTGGAGTACATGTACGTGAGTTGCTTCTGATTGAATATTTACATTTCAAACTAATTTGCATGAAATACATTTTAGGTTTTATTACTAAATGTGAAAAAGAGAATAAGAATTCATGACTGGATAAGGCAGGTTTCACGTATTCCCTTTAGACCCTGAATTTACCTGTCAAAAGCTCCAGGATAACGACCAAACTGTAACTTTCGAAAAGGAACAAACTTCCTGTCGATGTGTCCTTTCAGCCGTAGATGGCCATGCCAGAGATAGTTGCCGCTCCTCTCATGAAAGACCACCAAGTGGATGGCATGACTGGCCAATTTGCAGATGTAGTGCAGGGGAATTTCAGTTCCAGAAAGTGAGTCTATCCAATCCAGCCGGGGGTCCTTGCTCTCGATCTTTAGGCACTGAAATCCCATATTTTCAGCTATCCGAAACCAGCCTTCCTAAAACCAAAGAAACATCAAGCCTGAATATTTAAAATAAATACTAGTAGCAAAATTAAAGTTACTCTTACACTGAATTAAGTCTTCTGTATTACCATCCTAATCTGCTCTTTGCCTGAAGATTAAAAAATGAAGGTGGGGAAGGAAAGGTGGTGGTGGGAGAATTAAGGAAAGCATCAAAAAGAGAAACCAAATAGCATGGAAGACATGTTCAAAGACTCTCTTTATGAAAATCAATACAAATTTCTCTCTTGGAATGAGAATGTCCATTCATTATAGTGTTCTCTGGTTAGCATCTCCAAAGTAAATGTTAATGTAAGGACTTAAAATTAAACCTGTGATTCTCAATTTAACTTCTAATAATCTTCAAAAGTGCTTCATAAGAGCAGGGTTTCTCATCTCATAGTTATATCCCAATGCCTTAAACTGCTACTAAAATAGAAGTCTATCATAATATACATCATTAGAAAACAGACTAAGATATACTATAAAGCAAAGTACATTTCCAACAGTTATTAGTTATAGCATAAATAAGTCTCACATAAAAAGATTAACCTACAGGGTAGATTTTTAATCCTAATAACCAGTGCTACAGATGGTTAAACAGTATTAATTATTAAGAACACCTCACATTTGAACAGAAATGCACAGTTTCTAAAGAACTTTTATAAACATTATTGCATTTACATATAATGTCAACAAGGAAGATATTACACCTAATCTACAGTTAAGGAAAATAAAGTTCTAAGTGGTAATACCAGGCATTAAATCTATTAAAGGTTGGAACTATATCTAGAAAGTGATCATTCTGGTACAGAATGCTAACCAGTATCAATTACAATTGCTTTCCCCTTTCTGGATATAGAGTGAAATTGTGTTTTGGTCAAATGAATGCAGATGGAAGCATCAGATACCACTTCTTGGCCTGGCTTTACAATGTCCCATAAGATCTTTGCTTTCTCTCTTTTATCTGCATGTAGGGAAACAAAGAACTATGGGATAGGGAAGCCACACAAATGAAACAGCCTGCATCCTGAGGCACTGCTTATAGGAAAGTCATCCAGGAATACCCTTGACCAAGAATATTCACACTGGATTTTGTCTAGAGACAATTATTCCTTTTTTGCACTAAGTCAATGAGATTTTAGGGTTGTTTTTAGCAGCAATTAATGTAACTTACCCTGTCTAATACAATTTCACCTTGGTTCTCCTTATATTAGAATTAACTACTGTAGGATTTCCTTTCTTCATAAACCTAAGAGGTGGAAAGTACTGATTGAGTGTAAGAGTGGCCAATTCAGAGAAGGAATCTACTGTACAGGATGAAATAAAAGCATTATAAATTGGTAAATTTAGGAAAAATTTAAAAGGCCAGGCAGAACTTGAAGAGAAATCAGACCTCAAGTGTGCGGAGATAGACAAAACAGGAAGAACTATGAAACGGCTTGCCTTTTCATAATCATGACAGAGGAAAGTTAAGAACAAAGAAGTTGCTCTGATCAAACACAGCAAAGGCCTAACTCAAGGCTGTACTGCACAAATCTACTTCCAGCTGTGGGCTTCCCAGGTGGCTGAGTGGTAAAGAATCCACCTGCCAGTGCAGATGTGGGTTCAATAACTGGGGTCAGTAAGATTCCCTGGAGAAGGAAATGGCAACCTACTCTAGTATTCTTGCCTGGGAAATCTCACAGACAGAGGAGCCTTGTGTTTTGTTATTTATAGCTGAAAATATTCCTGATATAATTTACAAGTCTTTATAAAAAATTTTAAATATTTTACAGTTTAAATTGGTTTAATCTTAAATTGTTTTACAAAAGACACATTCCATTACCTAAAAGCAAATCATCTTACCTCATTCTTCCATAGTTGATACTGTAGTGCAAATGTAGTAAAGTCTCTTGGAACACAGAAAAACTTGCATTCTGAAGTGGAGGAGGCATGAGAAGTATTCTTGACTTGTTCAAAGTTTTTATTAATCAATTCCAGAATCAAAGGATCAATAAGGAACACGGGTACATTTTGACTGGATGTTAGCATAATAAATTTTTTAACTGCACGCTGTTTGAGAGGAAAAGAATTCCCTTAATTCTTCTAAACCAATATGACAATCTAGCTCATTAAATTTTATTCATTAATTTTATAAGAATATATATAGAGTGCTTATTCAATAGATACCAGGCTTACTATTTTGCTATCATTAAAAAACCCACAAATAAATAATACACCATACCTGCTCTCAAGAAGTGCACAGTCTACTGAGGATGATGTACAAATATTTACAATATAAGGTAAGTACAGAACAGTAATCAACTAATTAACTGTATATCAAAAGGATATCAAAATCTTCACAGAGGAAGCAGTATCTGAGATGAGAACTCTGGACTTACAAATTATTCCCTTCGTAGTAGCTAAATCTTTTCAAGCAAAAGTTGGAGAAGAAATACCAGGTCTTTCAATTTTAAATAAATTAGTCATGTCAACATTTTCAAAACCAAAAATAAACTGTATGTGGAACTTTTCTTCATATTTGAAATACTGCTTAATAATCTTGCCAAGAAAAAGACAAACTAAAATACACTGTCTGCTTGACCATTCCTGTATACAGTTTGACTTTCTAATAATACTGTAATACTGATATTTTAAAATACAATTCCGCTGAGCAGTAAGCAAAACATTCTACTGCAAAAAATAAGTTTTGAAATCAGAATGGAAACCGAATAATCACACTTAGGAGTAAACAGTATCTAAGAGTAGCCAAGATAAACAGAATAAATAGCATACATTGTTGCTTAAAAGCCTACGTTAATGAAAGGAATAATGACTTCAAAAGGATGTATGCCCATCAAAAAAGATGTTTCATGGAATTAAGGATAAATGATTACTCACAAAAACCTGAAGAAACTTATAAAAACATATACAAGATAATAAACAGATTAGAATATCAGGAATTATAAAGATAAAAAAGTGAGACAAATGTATGAATCAGTCTCTTATCCTTTGTTTTTACTGTAGGGTATTATGCAAATACCAAGAATATAATAATCTCTGCTCCAGAGGAATTTATTATCTCTTAGTGGGAGAGACAACTAAGTAAAAAGTTAGAATAAACAATGCTATGCCCCAAAATTCAATAACTTAGAGGAAATGGATAAATCCTTTAAAAACACAATTAATAAAACTACCAGAAGATGAAACAGGAAATCTGATTTGCCTTATAACTATTAACAAAATTGAATTTATTGTATAAAAACAAGTCTTGCCATCAAAACAAGAAAAAACTCTAGATTAAGATGGTTCACTGGCGAATTCTATCAAAGATTTAAGGAAGAAATAATGTCAATTATACAAAAACTCTTCAGAACTGAGCAGGAGGAAATACTCTGAACTCATTTTGAGGTCAGTGTATTCCTAAAAAACCTGACAGACATTACAGAAAGAAAAGTATATACCACTGTCCCTCATGAACACAGATACAGTGACATTTAGCAGGATACTAAAAAATTAATTCCTGTAGTTAAAAAAAAGAAAGAAAAAAAAAAAGAAAATATTATGACCTAGTATAGTTTATCCCAGGAATGAAAGGCAGCATTTGAAAATTAATCAATCATATTAATAGAATAAAGGGAGGAAACCTCTATGAGAATTATAACACAAAAAAATTTGACAAAATTCAATTCCTATTTCAGGATAAAAACCTCTCAGCAAACCAGGAATAGGACAGTTGTTCAATTTGATAGAATTTGAACAAAAAAAATCTATTACTGACTTGCAGTAGTTCTTTATTTATCCTTGATATCAATCTTTTGTCAGACACACGTTTTGCAAATATTTTTTATTTTTTATATTTTCTTGGTTCAATTCTGCTTTTCACATATTTATTCATTTGGGGAAACACCACAACTCAATGAATGAGGATTTTGGAAGCAAGCAGTTAGAATCTGAAATCAGTCACTTATTAGCCAACCAACCTTAACCTTTTTAAGTGAACTGAGAACAAACATGTATTAACATCATCAAGTTCCCATAAGGATGAAACGTGATACTCCATATAAAGCACTTGGCACAGTGTCTTCCCCTTGCCCTCTATCACCTACTCCCACTTCCTACCAAGCTAGCTATTAAAACTGTCATAATTCAACAAATACTTATTAAGTATATAAGTGAATGAACTAAATGAACTTGGCAATTGAGGAATTTCTCGACTGTCATACATACCCACTGTGTTCTGTCAAATCCAATTTGGCTTCCTTTGGATTTTGATAAACCAGATCCATTCTAGGAAGAGAACAAAAATAAAAATTAGTAAATGCAAAGCCCAGCACTTAACATTACATTTAGGGGAGGTATGAGGTTCAACCTATATAACTGGCTAATAATCATTAAAAAGCATAATCTAAATACACACAGTCATGAGCTAAGAAGTCTACAATTATATAACTACCCAAGATGGACAGCACTGAGACTGCTATAATTTATTAAACAGGCATATATGGTCAACATCTCAGAATCTATTAATTTCCATCAAATAATAGTAAACGCTTTGCTATCTCTTTCAAATTAGTATATTTATAAGATCTTCAGAAGCTACTAGACTCTAAATCATTGTCTCTTTATCTTTATGCCTAAAGGTTTATAATAAAGGTAAGTTATAACACTACACTTCCCTGTTAGGCACTATATTAAAATCGACTTTGTACCAAAATAAACTAACTCTAACATTTTATCAAAATTATTTATCATTGAACTCTTTCCAAAGAGTGATGATATGTTTGGAAAAATAACAATTTTCATATAATTCTATTAGAAAATTTCAACATCACTGAAACTTTGCGCCTCTGACTTTTAGTGTGTTATTATAATAATCTTAAACTGCAATTCTGAATTGCTTCTTACCACACCCATGAAAAGGAGAATTTCAAAGAAATATTTCTGCAAGGATTTTAAAAACTCATTACTTTTATGTACTGCAAAAGGAAAGTATGTTAGGAAGATAAACAGCTAAAATGAAGTTTAATAATGAGAAAGCAGGGCGAAAAAGTTACCTTCGTTGACAAATAGTGCTTGTAGTAGTACAACTGAAATAGCAGAAATGCAGAACTTGTCAAAGTTAAAAGCACCAAAATCACGTTCTTACTGATTCTGCTCATCAGTCTGCAGTGCTCACTTGGTTGTCTTTTGAAAGTAACCCAGTTGGTTTCATCTTTTGGGGTAAAAAGGTAATCTTGTTTTCTGTGAACAATATTTCTGAAGAGACAAAAAAAAAGCCTATATTTAATTTTTCACCTTTATTAACCATGAAAAAGTTACCTAAAGTTCAACAGAACATTCTTTGATTTGGTAATGTCCTATCCTAAAGAAATCATCAGATATAAGACCAAACCTGGAAGAACAAAAATGTTTATCATGGCATTCTTTACAACTGCAAAAAGTACGTGGGATATCTATAAAAACTGACCAACAGAGATGGGAAGGATTCTCCCCTAGGGTTTCTGATTCAGTAGAACTGGGGTGAGGCCTCTGAGTTTGCAATTCTGATGCATTCTCAGGTGATGCTGATGCACATACTAAGAACCACTGCCAAAGAAAAAATAAACTTTTGGTCAAGGAACATCACCTGTGTAACAGCTCTGTTGTCTAATGTGATGTAGGATGTGGTCAGTTTTTATATATATCCCAAATACATTTTCAGTTTTTGGCAAGTGTAAAAAAAGTCATGATGAAAAATCGTGTTCTTTTTTAACATGTACACGCTGCTTTGTCTACTTGTTTTTGACTGCACTGGGTCTTCACGCTGCACGCAGGCTTTCTCTAGGTGCAGAGAGCTGGGTTACTCTCCAGCTGCGATGTGTGGGCTTCTTGCGTGCAGGGGCTTCTCTCACGCAGGACAGGCTCTATGGGCTCGGTAGTTCCACTTGCTGACTCTAGGGTGTGCAGGCTTCAGTACTTGTGGCACATTAGCTGTGCCACAGGGGCTCATTAGCTGTGGCTTGCAGGTTCCAGAATGTGAGGTCGCCGTGGTGGTACACAGGCTTAGCTGCTCCACGGCATGTGGAATCTTCTTGGATCAGGGACTGAACCCATGTCCCCTACGTCACCAGGGAATTCCTTAAAGTTTCTGTTCATCTTTGGTCCCAACTGACTATTCCTTTAGAACAAGTAATTTAATACAGTTCTACTTCTTCTTACCTCCTCTTCACTGTTTCATTTTGGTCACACACACTACATTTGGTTCTTCAAATGTTTATCTTTATTCCTTTAACTATATATTAATACCTCTATTACTTCATGTATAAACTTTGTCTTTAGTTCTCCAGCTAAAAAATAAGAGGAATTCTATTAACACCTTCTATATCTCTCCTTTTAATCCTGACTTTTATTAGTTCATTTTTTCTGTAATACAAATCTCTCAGCTTTTAAAATCTTATTCCTACTATGTTCCCCTGCCATTCCTTTCACTGTATCATCTCTGTTCATCTACTAGATGGCTGATATTCATCTTCTCCTAAGAATATGGACATTATTACCTTGAGTTCTTGCATTGTTCAAAAACAGGTGTCAACTAACAGTTTGGCTTTGAGGTCACACCCTCTTTCCTCTGATGACTTACAGGATTTTTACCACTGTCCTGCAATGCTAAATACTCCCTTCACAATATGTGATCCTTTCCCTGGCACTATAGGGAAGATGATCTTTTTAACGGATGAGCAAAGAACACATTCCTTAGTTTTGAAATACAATTTTTTAAAAACTAGGTCATGTAATGATGTTAATGATTGTTATCAGTTTTTCTTCATTATGTGCCCTTCCATTATGTGCCTCTCCATTATGTACCCTTGATTCTGTAGAATCAAGATTTCTTTCTCTACAACAGGTTTTCTTATGTGTTTTGACTACTTTTCTGTTCTAATGTTGAATTTCTATTTCCAGAACTACAATTAAGCATTTGTTTCATCTCCTTTCATTTCCATTTCACTTTGCTCAACTTTCAAAAGCCTGTCGTCATATCCCTTACTGAGTTTTCAGCAACATTAATTCTCCTTTCTGTTTTCTATGTGGCTTTTTATTCCTGATTATATTTTTCTTTCTTTTCTTTCTTGAGTTCTGCCAAAGTATGACTCATTATTTACCACTATCTTACTATTTCTCCCTAGCCAGTTAGCTTTCTCTATTATTTTAAAGAAGTAGCTGTGTTGGGCTTAGTCACTCAGTTGTGTCCAACTCTTTGCAACCCCCTGGACTATGGCCTGCCAGGCTCCTCTGCCCATGGGATTCTCCAGGTAAGAATACTGGAGTGGGTTGCCATGCCCTCCTCCAGGGTATCTTCCCAACCCAGGGATCAAACCCAGGTCTCCCACATTGTAAGGAAATTCTTTACCAGCTGAGCTACCAGGGAAGCCCTTAAAGAAGTGGTTGTCTCCTTAAATTTGTTACGCCACCACAGTTTTCTCACGGGTCTTCGTCACTCGTTTTTCCATCTCCTTTTGCTTTTCTTTCTGTAACACTTTTGTGTACATACTGTACTCATTTTCTTTTTGTCATTATTCATCTTTGAATGACATGCACTTCACCCAGGACAATTACTTGCAAGAGCATTGTAGGAGGAAGAATTAAGGCTGTGTTCTGGACTAGAAGGTAGTTTCTCTAGCCTACAAGAAAACTCTTTATGACACAGGGTGTTCTGTGCATGTGCGTGTGAGAGAGAGACAATGTATGTGAGAACAAGGAAGAGAAAGATGTTTAGCCATTATTTCTTGCCTCATCAAAACAGTGCTTCCTGCAAAGATCATGTATCTGTGTGCTTTCTCATTTGTTCTTCCTTTCCTGCTAGATGTTGCCAAACAATCCAAGGAAGCTTCTCCTACTGCTTTTCTAGGCACCCTGACACCACTATAAACAGATCTATCTTTCATTGCTCTGTCAGTTCTACCTGAGATCTCTTTCTGTCAGAATGCTCTTAATCTCTTCCTGCTTACATTTGACTATCAGTTCTCAAATATTTCAATTTGGGATACAGGACTCTAGTCCTATCGAAAATGTAATTATAACTGACACTTGAACAATGCAGGGATTAGGGACACCAACATTCTATGCAGCTAAAAATCTGCATATAACTTATAGTTGGCCCTCCATATACATACGTAGTTCCTTTGAATCTGTGTTTTTTTCATATATGTGGTTTGCATCTGTGGATTCAACTATCCAGGGGTCATATAATACTCCAGTATTTACTACTGAAAAAACACCACATGTAGCAGTTCAAATCTGTGTTGTTCAAAGGTCAACTATACATCTCTGTCTCTCATTTTCCTTGCTGTTTCAGGGTAATTTTGGATAGAAGAGGGCACAAATGTTTTTACTCTGCATCTTTAAGTCAGAATTCATAGGATTTTGAAACAATCCAAATGGGCTTCCAGAATGAAAGCCTATATATATATATCAAACATTCAATGATGTTACATAAAGTCAACAACCTACTTAAGAGAACTATCACCAGTGATGTAAGTAATCTACTTGATTTACAGATAATGCATCAAGCAAAGATAACTGAAGAAATCATGATCATATTCTATCTCCTAAAACTGTAAAAATTAGCAACATCAAACAATGTTAATAATGGTATTAGTTCTGCTGTCAGCTAAAACCTTTTAAAATAAGACAGTCAAATATGTACTGTGATAAGGATAGCTTACTAGATAATAAAAAGAGCCTTCATTTTCAGTATTTCAGCTCAGTTTTTGTAATTGTGTTAAAAAGTACATCAATGTATTGTACTCTAATTCCTAAAATCTACAGTAACACTTGGAGTGTGCTATAGTCCAGTCTTTCCTGTGCCTGAATTAACAAATGGAAAGAAAATATAAAAGACCTATATAAACCACTACAGAAAAATAAAGTCAGAATTAATATCTTGTTCTCTTTTTGGACATAACTCTAACGTACTATTAATTCTTACATAAACTAAAGCTCCAAAATATATCATCAATCACAACTACATTTTTATTATCAAGATGATAGCCAATTAACTTTATTTCATTATTTATTTTCTGTGAATAACAAACCAATTCAACTAACTGCAAAGATAAGAAAACATTCCTTTTTGCTAGTACCATCTCTTCATTAGGAATAGAATTGCCACTTTAAAATGAGTAATGTTATACTTAAGAGGCCAAGGCTTATTGAGTTTACGTCTAAAATATCTCTTGCACCAACTTCCTCTTCTTTCTTCACTGTCATTCTAATTTAAACTCTAACTGTACAAATGTCTTAATTCTAATTGATGTCCCAAGCTAAGCTCCACTTTCTGCCTACTCATAATCTTACACTGACAGATATACCAAGCTACTGATAAAACAATCAAATTACATCATCATCAAATTTTTTCAATAGTTCCTTACCACCTACAAGTAAAGCTCAAGTTGCATATAAATTTGACCCATGAACAACACGGATTTGAACTACACAGGCCCACTTACACACAGATTCTTTTTCAATAATAAACACTACAGTATTACACGATCTGCTGTTGACTTAATTTGGAGATATGGAACTGCAGACATGGAGGGCTGACTGTCTTACATGTAGATTTTTGACTGTGTAAAGAATGGTGCCTACCATCCAGTTCTACAAGAATCAAGTCTTTAGCCAATGCAGTTGCTAACCTACAATACATGTGAAAGGAAATCAGGGTGAAGGGCAGGATGAAACACTTTGTCCTCTGGGAAAACAGGCCTTTAGATAGTTAGAGATATTTCAGGAGAAACCATTTATGAACCTGGACTCTAACATCATCCCATATTTAGAAAAGCACTAAAATCGTTAACTGAGATACGTGTTCCTTGTGACTAGGAGTAAACTTCTACAGAGATGTGTGCACAAGTGCACATACCTCTTTGCAAAATTATGTATTACTGACCTCCCCTATCTACTTCCTCTTCTAAGAGATTACTCAGAACTATCTGAGACTGTCTCCCAAATAAAACTGAAACTCACAGCTCGCACGATGTGTGTTTTTATTTCAGTTGACAGAGGTCTGGCACCCCCGACTGCACTGTTCAAGAGTCAAACACAGAAGCATTCAAAGGCATTCACAATCTAACTGAACACAAGGCAAACTTTCTAGACTTTCTCCCACTTCACACACTCTATGGTCTCTGCCCACGTATTCCTGGAATACACATCACACTTTCCTACCTCTTTGCCTTTGTTCACTCCCTCTTGTCTGAAGTATTCTCATCTATTTCCAG